ATGTGTGCAGGTACTTGATTATGTAATTACGTCAGCAATCATTAAAAAGAAACTATATGTACGTATATGAGTGCATTCGTAAAGTATTATGACACTGATTTTCAGCTAGCGGATGAATATCCTAAATGTAGCAGTTAAACTGCATTGATCGTAATGAAACTGGAGAATTATGCATGGTGTAATTTATAACCATAGGAAGTCCTTGCTCAACATTGATCCAAGAACTTATTGTTGCAATAAAAATAAGGCAGTCTCAGTTTGTCTAATGAAACATCTACAAAATTTTGGTAAATCTTAAATTTACTGTAGAAAGCATGAATATATTTTGACTTTTTTTTATAAGTGCATTGCACTGCAATTGTAATGCTGTACACCAAAGCATATAGTTATCCCATGTAGTCAAAATGGTGGTGATTGCAATGAATCAATAGCATGCAGGCTCGACTGTGTGGTCTAATGTTAAGCTGAGACTTGGTGGTCTAAATTTTTGTATATTTTATGTGGTAGTGATTTTTCACCTACACGAGTTGATTTCACCAAGAAGACCATTGTACGGTCATGTATTAGTAGTTTTGAAGAAAACTTTGTATGAAGAAGCTCGGTAATGATTTTGTAAAGCCAGATACCAGTTGGCGTTGCATTACAATGGCCAAGTACGTAGTAGTATTTGATATGCAATTGTGTTATTCAAATGAATACTTGTGAATGCAGCATTGATACAAGTTTTCCAAACATCTCAGGTTTTTGTATTCCCATTGTAATTTCGACAGGATAAAAGAATTATGACAATTTAATCACTAATTTTAAATTGTGTATTTGATATATATTGTACAATCTTGGATGTGATATTTTGTATATTTATACAATTTTTAATGGAAATAAAATACTGTAAAATATTGTGTGTGGTATTTCTTGTAAATTTGGATCTGTATATGATGCCATTTACTTGTAACTCTGGAAGTTATACAATGTGTCATGCTTGAGGTAAACAAAACCTTCACGTACATGTTGCCAATGGACAAGTTGCAGCTCCGCCAAAAGCGACCATGCACGTTTGTTTGGTGGGACAAGTACCAGAACTGCGGTATTCATGGTCATGTTTGTTTTCACTGTTGTGGAATGAATAACCGCTTGGTCCTACTCTTCAAAAACACTACCACTGATATCCATTTTTGGTTTAAAAAAAAAAAAATTAGATTAGTGTAAGTCACAGTTTCCAATAGTCATACAATAATAACTAAGCAGTATTACAGCAAACTTTGGTTACTTTAGTAATGGCACAAAAATAAAGTAGCATATACTTAATTGGATAATACAAACAGCTGTGATTATTTCCATATTACTTGGCTTTTGGTCTGTTATTTTGTCATATTCCCAACATTGAGAAACTCTTTTCAGTGTGTACACTAATTCATACTGATTTTAGTGTAGTTCATTAAAAAGCCCAAAAATTTTCGGCTTAACTGAAAATGTTTGTGTAAATCTTGCATCGGTATGAATAATAGAATCACATTTATTGTTTTTTGTTCTTTTGATGATAAGACTTTTGAATGTTATTTCCTTAAGAGTAAAATTTTCCACTACATCAAAACAATGAGCAGTTCTAATTGCTACTTTCTTGTAAGAAGTGCAAAATAACCTCGTTTCATGAGACAATAAATGTGATAAACTAATAAAATAAACAGGATCTTAACTAATGTAAAAATTTAACTGCTCCAGATACAATCTATGGAGCATACTGTGTGCCTTGGCCGATTAAACATGCAGTCAGCACCTAGTGGCAACAGAAAACTTTGTTACCATCTTTTAGATAAGTGTTCGGTAATTTTTTTATTTATAAAATTTGTATGCTACCAACGAAATTACATTAATTATGCAAAGAAAAAGTAAAACGAGACGAAGTGCAAACAAAATTAGATTATTTTAGAATGTCGCCGAGATTAATTTGTTTCTGAAATAGTGGTATCCTGTAGGAGCAGATGCTCATTGGCAGTGTAAACGAGGTAAATCTGTTGAGTCAACTTTCCGATCCCTACTACATATTAAAACAATTTATTGAATTAGCATCTTAAACGTGAGGATTCACAACGGAAATATAGATCTATGTAAATATATTTGTTCGCGTGTTTTGTTATTCATAAGGTATGTCATTTTTTGCAAGATATGGTGTATTTTGCATTTATTTGCATGTCGTGAAGAACCTATATGGATGAATATTGGCCCAATATTTTTGGGCATTTCTATTACCCTACTAAATACAATGCTAGAATAAAAGGGATACCGATTATTCTGTTCCAAAACATGTGAATTACGCACTGGAGCGAAGAGACTAAACAAATATCCCAAAGTAAAACACACACAGAGTGAGAATTAACCAAAGATTTTTTTTAACCACCTGTTTGGTGTCTTAAGCCTGTTGTGCATAATTCACCAGAAAGAGTATTAACAAGGAAGTTTCACCAAATGCATCTACTGACTACACCAGACTTTATGGCACTTGTTGAGCAGGGGTTTGCCAATGGGAGAAGGGAAACAATCACATGAACAGCTCTGCCATCTGACCTAAAAACACTATCCCACATTGCATGCAGTTTGATTGTACAAGTTGGTGAAGGTTCGGAAAGACGTAAAAAGATTGCTCATTGCAGTGAAATAGAAGTAAAACTACGCATGATTGTGTGTTGTGACCAAGAAGCTAAAAGAAAGTGTTAAGACACACAACACCAAACAAATGAACTGTAAATTACTCCAGGGGGAAGACATGCAAGAGATTCTGCCTGCACGCACTATGTGAACAAAAGTATCTGGACACCCCACAAAATGTGTCTAACATAGAGGACAGGATTACTGCTATCTACTGCATGGAAAACGCGGTCAGCAGACAGTGCAAAAGCAGAATAGGCCAGTCTGAGGAACTTGTGGACTTTCAACATGGTCAGGCAGTTGCATGTTACTTGTGTAAAAAGTCAGTGCACAAGATTTCCACTGTCCTGAATAGCCCTAGGGCCACTGTTTCTGATGTCACAATGATATTGACGCATGACACTTTCCTGGCATATACGCAAGCGTACTTCACCTCATTTGTGCATATCGCCTTGGCGCACCAGTACTAAAACTACTATAGAGGCTACAGGTTATGTCCGGACTAAGACACATCAGTTTCGTACTATTTGTCTGCAGTCAGAAAGTATGCCTCCCTCCCCCCCCCCCCCCCAAGATGAATTAGCTACCGGCAGAGTGACTGCAACTACCCTCAGGGGTCAAATAGTTCTAGTGTGTGCTGAGGGACGGCGCCCCTACCGCTCCAGCTGCCAGCAGAAAACCCTTGGCTCCACCCGCTAGCAAATGACTTTGATGACACCCACCCCTGCAGCCCGGACGAGGGCGGTCCAGCCGAATATATATCTGCCCGCGGTCCAGAAATGTTGGCTCAATTCAGAGCCAGTGGACCTTTGACAGCTCGCTCTACCACTCCTGGTGCTAGAGCTGTCTGCTGCCCTCGAAGTCCAGAAGCTCTTCAGCAACTTCAACCACCAGTTCTTCTCAAAGCCAGTACTACTACGTCAGCTCGCTCGAGCTCTCTGCCGACCTCAACATCTTCCAGACTTACCGAAAGCTCTCCAACTGCTACACTAACGCCTTCCAGACCTTCTAGGAGCTTTACGCCTGCAACCCCCGAAGAAGTCTTCAACTCCTCTTGTCGCTTACCTTTGGTAACTGCAATACTCCACTGCCCATCTGGTAGTGGGTCTCCCCAAGACCCCTCAGGACACAGTAAAGAGTAGATAGGGTCAAGTTTACTTAGCTAATTAACCGCACTGCCTTATCCAGCCTAGGACCAAGTGCCCTTTACCTGGCTTTGCGAAGTTAGTAGTTTCAGCCAACGTGTCTATTGCTCTTGGGAATAAAACATGAGTTCTCTCTTACTTGAGTATCAATCCTTAGGTGACTACCTAGTCCCACGTAAACACCACACTCAACAGAGTGAAGCAGGAAACTGGGTTTTGCCATCTGATTTTACTGAACTTAGTGTAGGACTGCAGGTTCCTCCCAGGGACACATGCACGTCAATCACACACAGACTCGATAGTCACCTATTCTGTGCACTCTGTGTACAGGGAGGTAGAGCCCCAACCACTAGCAAGACAATCCATAAGGAGGCAAGTCAACCAGCCCAGTTTGTACTCTCTCTACTGTGCTGAACTTTCGCCAGAGGGAGTATTTGACTGATCCTAGAGGTCTGACCGCCTTTGGACCCACATCGACAGTTGTCGGGCACCTCAAAGATAACCCACCTCTCCTACCAGAGTGCCGCTTTGTCACTGTTTGGGGAACAGGGTATGGCTGTGTTGACTGTTTCGGCAGAGCACTCTAGTTAGGATATTGTCTGCTTCCCTCCTGTGAGGCCGGTCATAGAATGCCTTGCACCCAAAGGAGTGGAATAAAGTTGCAGGAGAGAAATGCGTCTAAGTCTACATGGAGCCTCTTCTGCGCTCTGCAAAGATAGTCCCCGGGAATGAACTCAAGCTGCCCGCCAGCTGGAAAGGCATTACCTACCGGCTCCCTTCCCTCCTTTGTTTTCAAACCCTCAGAAGACACCTCATCCCATCATTTTTGCAATATGCAGTGAGGAGCACGTGCCACTTGCAATCACCAACCCGTGGTTTCAAGGGTGAATGGAGCACCAGCTCTGCCCGGGCCTACGCCAGCTTTAGCAGCCACAGCACTTCCAGGGCACCCAGTTTCTCAAATAGCACCAACAGCAGTCCGTCCAGACCACCACCTTTGCAGGTAACCTCGTAACTGCAAGTCACCTAGCCCACCAGATGCTATAACCTGTACTAGATTTTGTTCCACATCCCCAAACTACACGCTGAACTTAGTATACTGGTCAGGCCCCGGTGAGCCAATGAGTGAGGAGGGACGTTTAAACCCGTGTTCCTGACTATGGCGCTGTCTTCCACTGTCACCAGAGCATCACACGTGAATAGTTTTTGTGGTACCCAACGTGTGGCTCGAACCCACGCCCGAGATTAAGTCTCTCATGCTCTACTGTCTGAGCTAACTGGGCGTCAAGCCTAAGCCAATTGGACTTCGGGGAGTTGATAATAAATCAGTGGTGCCCAAGTACCGTAATGGCATAAGGCATTCCCAAGTAGGTACCTTATTGCCACATGCCCTAATATAGGGTGACACTCCATTATGTGTACGCACTGCCATATCATCTTCCATTACCAGTGTTTGGAATGGACAGATGAAGTGCATTACATTGACAACTTAGAATTCAGATGTAATGACTGCCATCTGCAGCTGGATCACCTGCCCAGGAAGGGGGATCAATAACATACACTGTATCATTTGCGCCCATCCTTCCATCATGCATGTATAGGATAGCCTGAAGAACGTACGACATAACCAGGACTAGTATGCCAGTGAGCAGCCAAGTACCAACCCACTAATCCGGGCCTTAGACATAGCCCGATACGCAGCAGCAAACCACAGCTACCTCATTAGCTGGGTGACCTCATGAAGACCCGATTGCGTTTACGCAAAGATGCTAGAGAGAATTCTAGGAAAATTACGTCCTAAACATACAATGGGTGACATGCACCCATAAACAGCTCCAATGGAAAGTCCAAGAATGGTGGAACCATTACAGAGAATTCACTGAGTGGGGCAACTGTTCTTTGCACCTTTCCAAGCAGTTTTCCAGTGTGAAGTTTTGGCGCACTTTACAATAGAGTTCTATACCAGAACCTAGCGTACTGACGAGGAGATCCAAATTTTTCATTAGTTGGAAAGTACAAGTGTATCGGCGAATTTTCCCAACAGAAAACGAAGAAATTTGAATAGTAACATAACCCAAATGCTCCTACCAAAATTATGCAATTTTCCATAAATCCCTAAGCGACAGACAATAGAGGAGTTTGTTGAACAAGTAATTCTAAAACGCAGGCAGTGCTAGACAAACCATTTGAGCCCGCTAGACAAACCCGAGAGAAAGGGAAACCCTCCTCCGCCACCTTCTTCCCCCACCCCTCTTCTACATAAGTGCTGATTCTGCCCAGATTGGCATTAACTGAGACTGTCCTGTCAGGCGAGTGGGGCAAAGGAACGCAGCAGGGGTGCACCGCTCCATGCGGAAAATAAACACAAACCCACCTCGGCAGGAAATGCAGCAATTGGGGTAAGAAGCGGCCTTCACCACCAGGAACCAAGGGTCCGCCCTGCAAAGACTGAATGAAGAAAGCGAAATCTGAGAAGCACCTGACAGAGAGGTAGAAATAAATGGCCAAAAATTACTCTCTTTACTAGACTGCTGCAACTGGCAATTTTGTATGGAGCGATGTACCACAACAAAAGACATCACTTGTGACTGAAAACACATATAGTGTGAATGGCATAACATGATACTATCCTTAAGGTGGATGGATGCACTACTATTGTCATGAGCTTACATAAACACACCATATGTGCATAATTTGTGGTGTCGCAGAACTGCAGAATTTTTAGTGTCACTGGAAATTATAGAGACGGTAATTCTAGTAGATCCTTGGCTGCTCCAGCAACAGTGTATTATGAACCACAGGCAGATAGTCTACCTGGGGGATAAACATTGGGTCACCGTGAATTGGGAACACAGTCCCAATGCGGTCGTCCCACCATCCATTTACCAGGACGAGACCAACTACCAGCTAGCTGAGTAAGAGTTCGCAGAGTTGAAACAGATCTTGGATGAGCACGTCAGTACCAAGGAGGATAATTATGCCAAACAGAGCATACAGCAAGTTATATGGAGCACTACATACGCGCCTGTGTATAACCGCCCATACCGAGTGTCCGCCAGGAGGCGACACTTAATGCCACCTTATACTGCAGACAGATGCCTGTCAGAACTGTCTAGGGGCCATGCTATACCAGGAAGATGCTGACGGCCGACCCCAATTAATGGCTTGCACCAGCACCAGGCTGAACGCCACTGAACAGCAGTACCATATCGACGAAAAAGAGTGCCTCGCCGCAATATGGGTAGTGAGGAAGAATAGATACCACCTCGAAGGCAAGCGCTTCACTCTGTGGATGGACAGCAAAGCCCTCCTATGGCTACGCAAGTCCCGGAATTCAAGCCCAAGCCCGGGGGTGGGAGACGTTCATCACCGAGTTTGATTTTGAAGTCCAGCACTGCCCAGGGAAAACAAACAACTTGTCTGAAGCCCTGTCATGCCAGCCGGATCTCGACTGGGGAGAAGAGGAGGGGAAGAGAATGAACCCCTCTCCAGTGCCTCGCCGTAGCCCAGAAGGGCTCCTCCGACTGCTGCAGCTTCAGTTAATTAAGTACCAAATCATCACCTATAACCAGTAGTAAGACCCCAACATCCAGAAACTCCTACAGCAGCACCCTCAGCGGTACAAACTCTGAGATGAAGACCTCTGGCCCCAGAGCGGTCAACATGGGGCACCATGGCGGATCTTGATACCGAAAAACCTGAGAATGGACCTTTGTTGCCATCATCATGATCAATGAAACAGGGACCCGCTACATCTGAGACGGGATGAGCTACGACGTCTGACAGTACATCCACATCAGCAATTCGTGCTGCCAGGGCAAGGCCTAACCCATGACCCAACCAACACTGAAGCACCATCAACCAAACATGACCTGGGTACAGCTGGCGGCTGACTTGATGGGGCCCTCACTGGGGATACTCACAGTCAATCTTGATGGACAACGGAACGGATTTCACCAGCAAACGCTCGCAAACAGCATTAACAGGGGGGATAGAAACTTGGGCAGTGGGAGCAGGAACCCCTGTGAAATTCCTCAGGCCGAAGACATATGCTTGGCCACCATAGCCAGGACAAGTAAGACTTGCTATATTCAGAAGTAGTACCCAAGGCCCGCACCAACGTGCAAATTTGACATGGGGGATACCGTCCTCTGCGCCCAGTACAGCGCCAACCTAGCCAAGAAGTTGGAGGGGCCATTCAAGATAGCGGGCCGGCAAGAGAATGTATACTGGGCAGAAGACGTGAGGAGGCACATCCACAAGGCGACTACGGGGCAGATACACCCCTTCCCGGAGAAGCCCACACCCCAGGATCTGTGGCCAATACCGAAGGGGGAAAAGAGAAGATGACCCAGAACCCAGGTCTGCCGCAGCCGAACCACCTCCACCCCAGTGACGGGAAATTTGGTTTGACGCTGACAGGATCGGCTGGCAAGCTACCCCCATCGTGGGTAGATTCTCCAGTGTGTCGAGCAGGAAACTCTGTCAGAACCCTGCCCTCAACGCCAACCAGCTTTCTACGCCCAGATGTTTCCAGCAACAACAGAGATTTCATGGCGAAGACTGCTGGACTGCGAACCTCGCCGTTGACCCACGCCACAGAGCCTGATCTCTGAACAGGCCAGACCAAGCTGTTCCGATGAGGTTAGAGGAGCATGAAGAGCGTCTACCTCAATAGGCCACCACATTCATGCCAGCCCCAGCGGAAGTCCTGGCCAACCCAGAGGCTGCAATGTTGGATGACACAGAAGCCAGTGCAGCCGCTTCGCCTCCTGATCAAGAGAAAGCCACCAGCCGAGCGGGCAGAAGAGATTGAAGAGCCTATCTCAGACGGCCACCCCGGTTCCGACATCAGACGACGCCGGGGTCGACGTCATGACACTCCCATACATGCAGACAAGGTCAGAGGGACCCCGGAGCCCCTACCTCTGACAGCAGAGCCGGCCACGTACAGGCTGGACACAGCGGCCACCTGCCAGGAGGCACCGCAACACACCCAGTGGTTCACCAATGCGAACAAGGGTATAAGCCCAACAGCCTTGCCGCCAAGGTTGAGGACCCCAAAGAACTTCAGCCTCCGTTGGCCACCCAGACTGCTCCTACCCAGGACACGGTCGACGCCTCAGCCCTGATACCGGATGGCACCAAGGCCACCATCACCCGGACCCACCCTTGCGAATTTAAGGATTAGCCCAGCAGTGCCTACGAGGTCAGTGAACACCAGGAATCGCTGTCTCTACTGAGTTATGGCTGCGCCAGCCCTGAGGACGCGGCCCAGATCCAGGTGTCGAAAGATGCCGGGGCCAAAACCCGGACTCAGCAGCCCGAATGGAAGGATGAGCCCAGCCGACGAGGCTAAGGGGCCCAAAGAGCTTCTGTCTTGACTGGCCACCGTGACCATTCCCGACCAGGGTGATGTAGTCCACCCCACCTCGACAGCACTGAAGTCATCAAGACCCACCCTTCCGAATTGGGGGGATGAGCCCAGCAGTCCTGGCAAGATCAGCGGACACCAGGCATCCCTGCCTCTGCCAGCAGAAACGGCAGTATCCTGCCCTGACGTGGTTTATCACCAGGTACGGCGACCCAGCAAACGCCCCTCTAGGAGGAGAGGGCCCACGATCGTCTCCCAGGGACAAGATCCCGGCACCCAGAAGAGCAACCTGCTCACGCCTGCCACTGCACCTTCGAGAACCACCCTGGAGGTCCACATCCCAGTTCAAGTGACAGTATCCCCAACATGCGGCCATGAGGAAGCATGGCTGACCATTGAAGATTCGACCCCATTTAAGAAAGACAGGCACTTGCACCTCACCCGACACAGGGACCCATTATCTCTCCCCTCATCACCACTCCCTAAGGCGTGGGGAGGGGGAAAAGTCATTAGCCGGTCACTAGCCTGGCCGACCGCCACCAGCTGCGCGTGCTGGAGAAACAGCACTACTCCAGCCGCCCGCTCCAAGTGACTCATGCAGGGCACACTGCTGCATCCTAGAGTGAGCACACACAGGAGCAAACATTACAGAGGTGCCACGAAGGTGAAATTTTTTTCTTCACCCAGATGAGCCTCTGTTGCAATGGGGGATCACTTTATAATGTAGCGATCCTATGGTAGGGCGTGGTGAATGCCTGGCGAACATCTACCAGCCTGCATAGTACAAAGTGTGGAATTCGGAGCTGGTGCAGTTGCAGTGTGATCATGTTTCTCCTGGAGGGGCTTGGCTCATTTTTTACTTTAAGTGGTACCATCAAGGCACAAGTTTTAACTGCTTTCATGTTGCCT